TTTTCACCGGGATTCTATGAAGGGAATACTTCTCCCATGCCAAGTCCTAAATTGAATAACAAAAAAATTTAAGTTTTCCCACTGGCAATCTTTGGACAGGCAGGCCACAAAGAATGAGTAATTTAGCTCCTAAACTAAAATTGCTCAACAGAATAGGAAAATGAAAACAAATTCTGTGAATCAGTGGAAACTATTTTGTGGTCATTTCACAGTCAGAAGCAACAGATGTCTTTCACTGACCATTACTAAGAAATCCCCAGTATGCTTCGTCGAGGAGGAGGACTCCATTCATGAGCTTTCTCCTACTTGAAGCTTTTCAGCAGAGGAAACCGATCTTTTTTCTACAATGGCAGACCTCAAATAAATTTCCGGCAAAGTGTCTGTATCATTTTTATTCAGTATTTACAATTCAACTTAGAAACACCCATAAGCATTTTAGGTTCCTGTAGGAATTGTAGGAATATTATACATAATATTATTCATTTTAAGTAGTTTACAGTGTTGCATGGACAGCCAGTAGATGTTACTTTTTGTTAAATATGGGATTATTACTGCTTTCTGGAAGCCCATGGCCTCAATTGGATAAACCAAGAGAAACCAACTGATGACCCATAGAAGGATCAGATCATGTTTTCCAAGTCGAAAGCAGTGCTGTGAACAATAAATGAACTTAAATCTCTAAACCTAACTAAGCCAATAAAGATTCTAATTTTCTTAAGACATGAATCCCAAATTAATGGACTCTTTTCATGATTTTTTTCTCTGCTTTCTCCAATACTTTGGGCTACAGTTTATAGTGGATGCATGACAACTTCTGTTGAGTGACAAACACAAAACAGTATTTTTTTCATTTCATCTCTCCTCCTTCCAATCTGTTTCTTAAACTGATGTTGAAGTGTCATTGGTAAAATATAAATTTGACACTGCCATTCTCATTGTCCATGCTATAATATTGTGACTAATGAAGCTTAAAATCGTTGAAAGTACAGAAAACCTAGCAAGGCCTGTCCCTACCAACCTATTGAATATAGACTGAGAGCTCCATTCAGAGAAGACTCCTGACAGTGGCAGAACAGTCTGTGCTGTGCGCTGTACAGACTTTTATACCTCTGAGTTTCCCTTGTCAACAGTTCTGCATATTTACTAGACAAGTCCTTTTTACATTTCAGATTTAAGTCTAATATCCACACCTGAAGAAAATCTTGGATTAGGTCCCCTCATACTCTTTGAAAATTCCACACACCATATGACCATTCTTTAAAATATGCGACCATTTTTAATTTCCTACATATATATATATGTATGTATGTATGTATGTATGTATGTATGTATTTCGAAAGGTATGCCTCCTCAGTAGCCTATAGAATGTCAAGACAGTAGCTACTTCTGAGTGTAATGCATAAGCCTAAAGCTCCGGCATGTGCAAAGCAGTTAATGTATACTTATGTGTAAAAAGAGAGAGATGAATAAATGAATGTATGAGTGTGTATAGTCAAATCTCTGGTCTCAGTAAAGTTATATAAAATGGTTTCATTGAAGCAGTACATCACAAAAACATTTACAACACTGCCCTGTCCAATAATATCAAGGGATAATGCATCTTTATAGTAATTTGAATAGAGAAACTAAAAGAAAAATGACATCACTATCTGGTATGAAATTCTAATATGTAACCATGAAAGGTCTAGGACTTTCTTAGATCTAGCAATCACAGAATAATTTAATTTCTTATTGATCATCATTTTATCCTTAATTTTAAGCTGGGTTGTCATGATACTCACTAAGTTTTCAACGATGCAAGGAAACTATCAGTACCCTTAAGTAGAAACTTATCAAATAATAATGGCACAGATGCACTTAGATGAGTATGATCCACTGAAAAAGCTCTGTGCCCCATAAGCATCCATCATTCAAGAAGGATGGCAGGACATTGTTAGGTAGTGGAGTACTGATAGCCCTCAGGATAAAAAGTGTCAATGGTGCCATTTTTGCTCTTTGAAAAAAATCCCATCCTTCCTCCCACCACCCAAAAAAGTCAGTCTGAAGGAAGGAAAAAATTTACTAAGCAAATGAGAAGATATCACTCAGAAATAAGGTGTTCATGTTTTTATCTAATCTCTGTCACTAACTTGATCATGAAACACAACTTTTCAGGTGTTCTTTCTCCATGATTACATAAATATGTAAGTAGATAGATAAATCTTATTGGGCCCAAATAAATACAGCAAGGATGAAAAAGAAGTTATTCAAGAACATATTCTTGAAATTCATAGGTAAGTTACCTCAGGCATTCTAGATACGAAAGAATGCCCTTCTCGCTGTATATTGTCATAATATTTTTAGTTCTTAATTTTTACTTATGAATTTATTTTTGTTGTTGTTGAGACAGCCCTACTGTCCTGGAACTCACTTTGTACACCGCCTGGCCTTGAACTCACAGAGATCCACTTTCCTCTGCCTGCCTAGTGCTAGGATCAAAGGCATGTGCCACTCCCACCATGGTGTTCTTAATTGTTTTAAATAGAAGGTCATATATTGGACTTCCTAAATTAAGTATAAAAGGAATTGTAGGAATTGGAGATGCCTTAACTCTGTGTTTAATATTTGCTTAACTGTAACCTTTCCTGCTCATTTTCTGTAATGAATATTTATTTATTTTGTTTTTAAATTGGCTTTCTAAAGAATGTGGTAATCAGTGTAAATACTGAGTGAAGACAGAGCTTTGTTTACACTTCATCTGAATAGAAATCATCTCCCCCAGTTGTCAATGCATGATCGGTGTTGGGAGAGGCATCCACTCCAATTAATTATTCAACAGTCACTTGACACACATGAAACAGAGAAAATAAGCAAAGCAAAGCCAATGCTTCTGGGAAGACAGACTATGCCTTAATCATTCCATCTCCCATTTCTTTGATAATCAAAAGAATCTAGCCTTTTGTTTTCCTGCCATTGCTAGTGGTGATCTTTGCATTATCTTTCGCACAAATTTTCAAAATGAATCGATTCTCAGGACAATTGTGATGAGTTTACTTTCTTAGGATGCTTTTTCTTAGGCCTCGGACACTACATTGCTCTAATATTCATCCTGCTAATTCCAATTTATGCACCTTACAGAAAGAACTATTCATTTGCCAAAGCAAAATGTATTTTGGAAACATCTAATTCTGTTTCTCTTTAGCATTACTTTTTTCAGGCTTTCTACAGTCTTAACTATTCCTGATTATGCATGATCCTTGGATCCCTACATTAAAATGCATAGAAATATTTTTAAAATTCATTTAAAACACTCTCCCACACAGTACAAGCTGTCATTGTTTCATATTTGCTTCTTAATTTAAGAAAGGAAGTTATATTTCATTAAGTTGACTTCTTTATCATTTAAAGTGGCATTAGGATGCTTACAGAAGTATTTTCCTATAAAAATAATATTTGCCATTCTTTATCAATCAGTACACGTAAGTGCAACTTCAACTTGTACTACTGAATTCATCTTATCTGGCTATCATATTCATGATTCACAGTTCAGCTAGATTTGGTAGAGGAAATGATGGTTTTGTTTTACTTTTGTAAAATATGAAATCTGATCTTGTGTTCATGGAAATTTCCCAGCAGAGCTGAAGTTCAGTATGGGACATGGGATACAGTCATCTCTAATTACTTATACCAAAGGACCTACCACAAACCCATCTGAAAACAAAACACAGTGAATAACTCTTGAACACCCCACCACTATACTCATGAATGCCACAGAATACTCCCAAATAACACTTTTTTTCTTTCTAACTAACTCTTTGCTGTCTAAGCAGTTACAAATTTCATTATGTCTTCCTTTCTTTAAAAGCCAAATGAGAGAGAGAGCTGCCAGGTCTAATAAGAATTACAAAGGCTGGCTCCTCTCAGCAGTATCAGGCAAAGGGGGGAAAATTACAGGAAAAAAAAAGAAAAGAAAAGAAAACAAACATCACACAATAAAACACAGCCACACATAGAATTTTTGGTCCCTGTCTTTCAAAATCATACATAATTATAATAATTTACCTTTCTCTCCACTTCAATCATACGTGCTATGTAGCTGTGCACTGGCTGCCTTGATTTGACCCCAAGCTATGTACCTGAAGGAAAACAAGATGCCTCTCTTGCTTAGCCTCTATTACACTCATGTTTCACCCTGGCCATATCACTCAGTCTCTCTCTCTGTTTATAGGTTTCTCTGTATTTATACAAGAATATTTTCCTTGGTCATGGTCATAAAAAATAAAAACATAGAAGAGATACACAGAAACCTGTATTTTAGATGTAAAGGGGTAAAAAAATATGACTTAGATGTGCTTTGTTTTAAGCCCTAAGGACCACAGAAACAACTTGATTTCTGCTACTCACATAAATGTCATTAGCTGGATATCTTTGAAAAATCTCTTCCCATCACTCACATGCATCCTGTCCAATAGCCTGGACATTCGTCCCAACCCAGAGACATTTACATTGCTCTAGTACTTTTGCTATGAAGCATTTGTTAATCATGAAATACATTATCTCTTCTCCACCATTGCTCAACCTTGGCTGGCCTGTCTTACACCTGAAGAAACCAAAGAAATCACAAAATTCGACTTAAATATGGCAAACTTGGGGATTGGGAGGGACATAACCATGGAAACCAATGCTATTTACCAAACCCTCCTGTCCGTGAAGGAAATATCATCTTTTTCCACAACCAGGATCAGGTCTTGGCTCTGCAACTTTTCCCACGGCCTACCAACTGTCAGGTGGGCTTTGACCAGTAACCTTGTGGACAGCTCTACCATGGATGGTCCAGGGCTGCTTACCCTGTGCTAAATTTTCCCACCAAACACATGCTCAGTCTTCTAGATGTTTGTCAATACCTCACAGGCAAGGTCTACATACTATAGTTACTGGTGGCACAGGGCCATGTAGGTGGGCAATGGCCATCAAACTACAGAACTCTGCCAGCCTTGGGTTAGGGTTTTAGGGAGACCGTTCTACTTGTCACTTGGAAGGAGGTAGACTTGCATGGTCAGGGCCTCGGGAAATGAAGGAGGTTCGCCCATTAAGAGGCTGCAAAGGGATGAGCTATCTGCGGAGGGCAGCCTGGCCTTGATGGACAGGCCTTCACCTGGAGGCATCGGAAGGAGGAAGGCCCCATGCACCGGCCTCCCGCCCAGCCCAGGCCGAGGCTCCACGGGGGTCGGGCAGGCCTTACCTTGACTGCAGTCCTTGCCACGGAAGCCGGTCCTCGAACAGTCGCACACGGCCTGGTCGTCTACCACGGAGCACACGCCTCCGTTGAGGCACACACCTCCTTCGCCCTCATCGCCCGCCTCGCACGGGCTGCCCCCACCGCTGTTGGGTGGCTCGTCGTCCAGCTTGACCTCACCACTGTCCACAGGCAGCGCCTGCGACGAGTTGACCCGCACATCGCGGATCCAGCCCTTGAAGGGCTCGCGCTCCCTCACTGAGGCCAGGGTGAGCTTGAGCGCCGCAGCTCGCAGTTCGGGGGGCAA